AACCAATTTCTTAAATAGTCCTTTTCTAGCGTGTTTCCAAGACTGTCTTCTAAAATGAAAGGTTTATACCCTTGAACCCTGGAGGGACAAAATAGAAGGGTCTTGATAATTCCTGACATGAACTCAAACCATGTTTGCTTTATCCTGATCCAAAGTATTTGGCTTTTTATAAAAGCATAACATAATTTTGTCATTAAGTGACATAACCATGTATGTGTTATTCTTAGAATGTTTCTATTAATGAATTATTCATTTTAATTTTATTACATTAAATATAAGTGATTAACATGAAGACATAAAATAGAGTACTATATTTTTAATATTTACTTAGTCTTTATAGAAATGCATCAACATTTTCAACATCAACTAGACTTTAGTGTACAACATTTACAAAACATCAAAAATAAATTCTTATATGAACTGCAATGAAAATACAAATAGTGCTCTATAAAACTAATAATCTATACTTCAATACCTACTTTACTTCAAAATTCATACCTAAGACATTGTACACACATGGAAGCTGCACATTCCATGTATACATTTCACTTACACTGACAGTACATGTGTTTAACTTTTCTTTCCTATGTGACAGGTCATTCTTGTCACCTTTCTTCTCTTCCTGTTTTATCAAGAACTTACTACTATTTTGTACAACATGCACTTAGTAAGAAAATAAAATATCAATAAATAAAATATCAAATGTGTAATGAGTTTTAAAATGCACACATTTTCACATCATGTGTTTACTTACTTTCAAAACCTAAGATACAATATCTGAAATAAAAATCTATAAAATAGCAATAGAACTCTACAGCAAAAATAAGCTTTTCTTTGATTGTCACACCTAAGAATGGCTTCACACATGAAAATGGCATGTCTCATACGCAAGTATTGACTATACTAATAGCATGTATGTTTCATTTTCCTGGCCTTTCTTGAAGGGCACAGGTGACATCTTTCCTGTTGTCATACTAGCTCTTTAGGATGTTGTGTCCTCTGTTTAACTGCAGCTCAGCAATGTGGTCCACAATATTTTTTTTGCATAGTTTCCTGGACAGAAAAACTTTGCTTTTCCTTTGCTAAAAATTATATAAGAGATTCAGAAGACTCCGGTCCTGGTCTTCTAAGAAAAAAATTTCAAGGTATTTTGTAGTTATTATTTTCTTTATAAATCATCAAACTTTACTTTCCACACATGGTTAGGGTTGAGTAAAACACAACTATTGACCAATGCTTTGTTTCATGTGACTTTATAGTTGTTGCATAACCCAGCATCATCTACTTCACCTTTGATTTTGTTTCTGTCTTAGGCTCCCAATTTGTTGAGATTTTCCTATTAAAATTTCAATCATTGCAAAAAGTTGACATCAGCTATAACAGTTTGTTTTTCTTTGCCACATATGCAGCCAATGTAAATCTTTCTGAAATGTAAGGATTGTATTACTTAATTCTTTTTTTTTTAATATTATAGCATTTGCAATTTCTGCTGTATTCCTATATATCATTTCTGGTTTGGTCAACCTGTTCTCTGTTAGCAAATGTGACATTAATTGAAAACTGGTAAACTGATTATCAAGAGTTACAGGCTAACTAGTATCAGAGGTGGGAGCAATAAGTCTGTTTCAACTACCATTTGTTTTTTTTTACCATATAAATAAAGACCTGGTGGCCAAGTTCTAGGATAAGTTTCTAAGCTGAAAGAATAATAAGTCTTTACATGTACAATGGTATAAATTTTTACATCATATTGTAATCCATCATTCTTCTATAAATCATTTATATTTCTGCAATTGCCATAAGAAATCCCTGCTAAGCACAGCAGACCTATGAATGATTTCAGTTCAGCTAGTGTTGTGTCATAATACATATTTCAATATGGTTATTGTGCATGAAGAATATTTTAATGGTATATCAGCCTGTGTGTATTCCACAGCATCTTGTAGCATTTCATCTGTTATATTTTCTAACCTTGAATGGCTGTACTGACTTTATCTCAAGTATGTTTCAACCCTGAAAAGACCCTCACTATTTTTTTGGGTCTAGTTCTAACACTGGATTTTTCCATTTAGTTGTGTGTCCACTTTGCAACATTTAGACTAGTCAAATATCTACTCATATTGCTGTTTTCCTCATCATCTGCATTCTTGCTCCATTTAACTATAATAGAAACTTGGGCTCATATGGCCAACTTCAAAGTCATTGTCATCATCACCATCATCATCATCATCAAACACACACACACCACTCTGCTGCTATGAAGACCTGTATTTTTTCCATCATGGATCATTTTCATCACCCATGGATGAATGAAGAATGATTCACATTTGATTCCCTTCATAACTTATAAACCTGTTTTTTCATGTGTGACTCTACTAAATTGGGCTATGTCAAGCAGAAAAAATCAAAATAAAATGTTTAAAATCAAATCCTAATGTGATATAGCTGTGTTATACCCCCTTTGACACTCAGGTAAAACATACACAAAGACTCTCCAAAAAGATTCATCTGGTTATATATCACCGTTTAACACTTTTCCACACATGCACACACTTTGCCTTTTATCGTATCGAGTATGTAGACATTAAACTTGCTTCCCATGTCACTCAGGGAAAGGCACTGAGATGCACAGTCAACTACTATTATGCCAAAGTCAGAATTTACAGCAGAAACCTAAGGTTTGAGTTTGTGGGAGCCAGTGTTATGCTCCACGGGTTTACTGCTGAGCTTTTCACCCATCTAGCTGTGCTCCACTCCATCTTTTCAGGCACTTTACATCTGGTAAAACTGAACACCCTTTATGTGCTCTTCTTACTCCTGTTTCTCTCAGTAATTCTTACTAGAATCAGGAAGAATAACCACACTGTACCATGAAGCATGGACTGTCTTGAAGTTTCCTCCTTCAGATCTATTACTCCACTATCCTTAATTTCAGTTTCACATAAAGTCATAGATCATGCACAAAACACAGACATTTTTTGATGTAGCAAAATACATACGGCCTAGAATACAACAATAAAGTCTTTGCTGAGAACTAAAACTTCCTGAGTCTCATTTGCTGCCTATTTTTTTAATCAGCATTCCTGTCTTCCAAACTTTTACCACAATATTTCTCCATGCTTGGTTTATAGCATTGTATGGCTCTTCTAACTACCACCTTGAAACATTTTCAAACACCTCCCACAAACCAGTTCCAGAGGTCTCTAAACTGCATGGCAGAGACCCTACTCCTGGTACTAAAGTTTTTCATCCTCACTTTCCTCACCATGGGACAAAATACCTGACAACTGAAAATTAAAGGATAGGTGCATTCCAGTTCATATTTGAATCTATAGTCTGATGGTTTGAAGACAAGAGAGCATAGCAATTAGGGATGATGAAGAACAAGTCGTTTATTTCATGCAATTCAGGAAGGAGAGGGTCAGGGGAAGAGTTGGAAAGGTAGATATACTTTCCTAGATCATCCTTTAATTACTCACCATGTCCAACCAGAAGCCACCTTTTAGGAACAAGTAAACTAAAATAACCCAATAATCAAATCATCTTTTAATAGCCCTTCCTAAAAGTTATGAGGCTTTAGGACGATATCTCTATATAAATCACAAAATAGTAATAATTTAAAATGAATTTTACTTAATCAAAAACCTAGCTTAATGTGTTTATTTTTTTTCTTTCTATTTTGATACCAGGGATCAAATTCATGACATCACACTTGCTAGGTAGTTGCTTATGCTGCGCTGAGCTAAACCCCGGCCCTTGCATTGTTTAACAATGACTTTTTAAACAATGATAATTTGGTGGAGTATTTGAATTCAACTAATTCATTCACTTAACAACCATTTATTAATTACTGTTCAGAGAATGAACACTTATGGTATAACAACTGCACAACTGTCTTTCTTAATTAAAAGCTTTTGTGCTAGTAAAGGAAGCGTGAAATTATGAACGTAAGTATAAGAAGAACACAAACACAAGCGTGTATGAAAGAGAAAATAGAAAATGCGCCTCTGCTATTTCTTCAAAGGAGATTTCAAAGAAATATATAGAACAAATATTAAATACATAAATGAACGTGTAGAAAAATATCAATTGACATAAAGATACACAAAACATTATTATATTTTTGGAATATAAGGTATTCCACCATAACTTGATTTTATATTTACTGAAAGTAACATTATGAGATAATTATGAGAAAGATACTTCATACAGATTCATGAAAGCCTTTATCAACATATTAAGTGGTCCATGTCACGAGACTTTAAGCATAATTGTAAGTTGGAAAATCTTGACAGCTCTCCTATAATTTTTTTAATATGACTCATGATTGTTCTTTAAAAGATCTCCTACAATCTCTGCAATGTTAAAAACACTCCAATGTATTAAAAATTATATCTTTCGTATTGTGCAGATACCATAAATATTATCTGGCTTGAATTTCAAAGAATCCATACCATCTCTGCTCTCCTAAGTTGCTTTTCAGATTCTGAGCTTTGTTTCAACATTCATATTCTATTCTGAGTTCTTTTCATTACATTAGTTATGATTCACTTCTAGATGACACTTACATGTGCACATTTGTGCAGTGTTCCTGTGCATGTGCACATGTATTATCACTACTCATTTCTTGCATGAAAGATTTATAAATTTTTCAGAGAATGTGCATATTATATAATAGTGCATAAGTAGAATCTCTAATAATGTATTACAAGCATTTTATTTTTGCAAATATATATTTTACTACTTGACATCATTGCATGATATTTTTAGGTTTAATGTACTAGGCACAGAAATGAATACTTCTCCATGGTATTAGTTACCTTTCACTTTCAGGAGTCAGTGGGCTGAGGGATTTACTCCTGACAAAGAAAAACAAAGGTCAACCAACGGAAACAAAAGTAAAATATTTCCAATTAAAAAAATATTGTGCATTCTACTATCTTATCTGTTTTCCATAAATGCATAGTGATGAATTCAAGTCACAGGAAACAGGTACCTACTCTGAGGAAAACGTGGTGGGTTGTCATTGACATCGGTCAAGGTGATGTTGACGGTTGTGGATCCTGAAAGGCCTCCGACTTGTCCAGCCATGTCTTTGGCTTGAATGACCACTGAGTAGTGTTCTCTGGCTTCTCTGTCCATATTGTGCAAAGCTGTTCTAATAACTCCTGTAATATATATATATATTTAGAAAACTCATTATGATTTTTACCTTTGACATAAAGAAGCTTAATTTTCTCTTTTAAGAAGCATATCTGGAAAAGCACAGTTGAGAGAGGCCACTCTTCAGAGAAAAACAATAACTTAGCAATGCATGAAACTTACATGGACACATTTATTAGAACCACACATCCCAAGGGTTTCTGTGATGGCACATCACTTACGTGCTCACCAATTTACATCACTGTGTTGATGGCCCTTTGGGGCAGCCCTCTCTTTAGGATTATTCTTCTTGTTGGTGCACTGAATACCTCACCACGCATTCTTCACAGAAGTGTCTTAAAATTGCCTTTCTGATTCAAGCAGAGGGTAGTCTCTTCACAGAGCTATCTGCACAGCTCCTTACAGAGCCAAAGTTTATGACGGAAAACGTTAGAGGGGTGTGGATACTTGAACATACCTTCAGCAGGAAAAATTTTAACATATCAAGACAAAAAGTACATTATGTCTGAAACAGTAACAAAAACCAGATCTTTATATATAAGTGAAATAGAATGATAAGATTCATTTAGGAATCACATAGCTTATATATCTCATAATTCAAATGGGGACATTTAATGCATTTTTCATCATGGATACTTGGATTGAATGAGGAGATGAAAATATTAGATATCTATTTGTGATTATGAATACAAAATGACTTTTCTCATACATCAGATATCTTTGTAAGTAGTCTCTTAAATATAAATACCAAAACCAGATTTTCCACAGGACCAAGTTTATCTAGAATACATTAAGTGTCATAAAATTCTTCAAACCTGTCATGCAGATAAAAAGCTGTGTATATGTGTATCTGTGTGAATATATCTTTAGTGTAAATACGTTAACTCCTTCAAATATGGATCATTTAATTCTTCCATTTTAATTCTATTAAATATAATTTGGATAGTGGTAATGCTAAGAAAGACACCTTTAACTTCAATTGAACTCATGTTTAATTAATTACTGTTGTAACTCACAATAAGTTGTCATTTATAGCTATAATAAAGTTTACCAAGCCGATATCCAGTTTTGATAACTATGAAATTTACCAAGTATTTTTACAAAGCATATATTGACATAAGAAATGAAATGGAGCTCTATATTCAAGGCTAAAATAAAAATAACTTTAAACGTAGAATATTAACCAGTAACTTGTATTCAATGGAAGATAAGCAAGTTTTCTTTTCTTTAGAAAGAAATTGGGAATGACCGAATGTGTAATGACTTCAGTGGAGAACCTCAGGTGTCAAGAAAAATGTCACATGCTTTTCAACAGTTGTTAAAATATAACCCAAGCAGTTCAGGAAACTTTCCTGAAGCTAAGGAAGAAAGATAATTATTATCAACATAAATTATAATAATATGATAATAAATGATTCTTCTAATTCATGCATATGAAAAAAGCCTCAAGCATTCTTATTAAATGAACAATGTTTCATCACATATGATAATTACACAAGTAGGAATGAACTAGCAAAAAAGATTTATGAAAATAATTCATAATAGTAATGTATGTTTTCTTGTATTTGAAAAGAATACACATGTCTTTTTAAAGAATAATACATTACAAGTAGGACTTCCCTGTGTTAGGGAAGACTATGAGAATGTTAAAATTTTGTTGTACAAAACATAAAAATTGGGGCTATGGATTTAGCTCAGCAGCATAAGTGCCCTCCTGGCAAGTGCAAGGTCCAAGGTCGTGAGTTCGATCCCTGGTACCACCAAAAAAAAAAAAAAAAAAAAAAAAAAAAAAAAATCTAAAGATAAATCCAACCATTATAAAGTAAAAAGGTAAGTGTATCTTTACATGTAATTTAAATTTTTTAGCATCAGAGATAGAACCTCAGGAATATATCTGCTTTGTAATATAGATGAGTTGCCATAATGTTACTTTTTTGTACCACTGTGACTTCCTGAACAAAATGGAAGTTTCTGAGTCATATTTTCTCATGGAAGGGAATGATCATATCCAGAACCAACACACACTTCTCAGAAAGAATTTCTCAAGGTTTACTTGACCTCACAGATTCTCCTAAAGATGACCCAAGTGTATTTGCTTTGCCAGGACCTCTGCTCGGGACACAGGAGAAACTGAGAGGTAGTACAGTTGAATGCTCCCAGCAACAGAGCCCCCAGAACACAAGAAAGACAGGGAACTTAGAGCAAAATGAGGGCGCAATATTTTTTTTCTTTTAAATAGTCTATATTTTTGTTCAATTTAGCAAGAGAGAAATAATCCAGAGGAAATTTCCACACACGCCTTTCCCCTTGTGCACTTCCTCCTACACTATTGTCCTCGAGAATGGCACATTTGTTACACCTGATAAACCTGCACTGATGCGTTATTATCACTTAAAGTGGAGGATGTACATTAAGACTCTCTTTGGGTGTCTGGCCTTTATTGAGTTTTGACACATGAATAATAACACACATCCACTTTATATTACCATTAAATTATCATCCACTGCTACAAGAATCCCTTCCATTCTACATTTTCACTTTTTTTTCTGCGGCCCTTGAACATTAATCTTTATATTCTCTTCATCCAGGAAGTTACACAATTGCAATATGCAAAGGTGACCCTTTAATGTTGTCTTCATTCACTTTATACTCATTTAAACTTCCTCCATGTGTTTCTGTAACTTGATAGCACACATTTTTAGTGATGACATTCCATTTATTACGTGAATGGCCTATCGCTTCTATGCCCTTTGACTTACTAAAGGATATATTGATTGCCTTTATGGGTTGTTAATTATAACTAAAATGGGTGCCAACTTGTATGCATAAGTTTTGGGATGGGCATATGTTTCCCAAGCCTTTGGATAATATCTGTTATTGACAGTCATCTGGTATGAGTATTTTGTTAGACACTGTCCATGTCTCTTTTCAATACATTCCATAAACAATGAATATCCTGTTGCCCTATACTCTAGCCCTCCTGTGATGTTGCCAACACTCCTCATTTTGGCCATTTTAAAAAGTGTTCAGTGGTATTTAATGTTTATTATAATTTGCAATTCCCAGGTGGCATCTGATATGGAACTCCTTTTTATATATTTGTTTGCCATCTACAGATTTGTTGTTTTCTTTTTCTCTGTGGTACTAGAGAGTCACTCCAGAGGTCTCACACTGACCTACTTCTGCAATACTTTTGCATGCTTTATTTTGAGACAAAATCACGCTAAGTTGTTAAATTGCCCAGACTGAGCTGCAGCTTACAAGCATCATGCGCAATTTTCCAGAGTGTTAGGATTGTAAGAGTGTGTGATCACACTCAGCTTGCTTTCTTTAGGAAAGAGTCTTTTCAACTATTTTGCTTATTTTTCTTTCTTCCTAATGAGATTGCTCACTTGTTGACTTTTAACGTGGATTAATTGTGAAGTAGTAGAGTTCTTCATGGAAACAACAAATTAGATTAGATAGACAAATAGGTAGTTTTATTAGGAAAAAGGTTCTAATATTGTTATAGAGGTAAGCCACCTGCAAAATGAAGACTGAGGAATGTTAGTGCAAGTGAGTTTTATTTTTGAGGCCTCAGGATCAGGAAATTTGATGTTGGAAATTCTAGTCTGAGAACAGAATGTCAATGCTCCATGTAAAGCAATCAGACAGAATGCAAAATTCTCTCTTCCTCTATCTAAAACTAGATTTATTCATTTTTTAAAAATTTATAGTGCTTTGACTTTATTTGCAGATCATTAAAGAGCCTGTAGACCAAGTGCTATGCAGGACAGAAGCCTGAGATTGAAATTAGCCCTTAGCCATCCTAATGCCCAAAGTCAACCCAGAGCTGCCTCCATCCCATGAGTCAGCACAGGCCACCACCTCTGTGGACCTGGGGTAGCTCAGACACTTGACCACCCAATCCTACCGGGGAATTCCTTTAATTCCCCAGGGTCAGGTGAGTGATGCCTTGGTGATGACAACAGCTGCAGAAGTATGGCTTTGCCTTCTGGCCCAGGTCCATGTCCTTGTCCTCCATCATGGAAGGCAGCCACACTGATGTAATGATCTGCCACTTTCTAGAAGAGTTGGTCCACACTTTGGCCCCTCTTACTGGATGTCTGCATAGTCCTGGATATCATGGAAAATCTACAGAATGACGCTGCCAGTCTTCCTCCAGCAGGTCAATCTGGTGCCACACTGGTAGATCTGACAGCTCTCCTCTATGTTTTGCAGCTCCTTTACCAGGAGCTCTTTCAAAGCTGTTGTCTGTGAAGTTACAGCAGATGACGGTTGCTTTGGCACCTTTTTGGTAGGTTCTACATACGGCCTCATAGTGCTCAAAGCCTACTGCATCCCAATTCCCAAAGTCACTGTCTGGTCTCCAACAGACATCATTTTAGCCACAGTGACAGCCCCAGTGGTGTTCTGGTAGCTCCTCACCAGGAAGTGGTCATGCAGATATAGTTCTACCAGGCTTGTCCTGCCCACATTCCCTGTACCCATCATTACCACCTTGATGTCCACACTTAGCCTGCTTACTCTCCCTGGGCGGCTTCACTTGGCCAGGCAGCAACCAACCCTCAGGTCCCAAAACCTAGCTCCTAGCACCCTGGCAGTACTCTGTCTGCCTCTGGCTATCCCTCCCACAGCCAAGAGCTGCAACATCCTGAAAGGGCACAGGCAGCACCCTGCAGGTCACCCCAGGCTGCTGTGGGCTCCCATTAGTCTCTATTTGCCCTCTCGCTCCCTTTCTCACCTGCCTGGTTTTCCCTTCAATGTTTTGAATGATGCTCAGGTACATTAGGGAGATAAATTTTCTCCAAAGCTACACTGTTTCAAATACTAATCCTGACTGGAAACGTCATTGTAGAAACATTCAGAAATCACAGTAAATGGAGCCATGACCCATTCAAATGGACATGCAGAACTGATTGTTACAGTTACCTTATCACACATGACTTGTGCAGTTGGTTTTGTCTGACAAAGTCTTTCAGCAAAAAGATTTTAAACTTCTTTT